TCCGCATCTATTTTTTGCCTTGAATATTTTTTTGCTTCAGCTTGCCTTGATGTACAAACTCTAGTTTAATTTGCTTTTGAGTAGTTGTACGTAGTTCGGCAGCTGTGTTTTTCCGCTTGTGGGCGGCTGCCGATTTATTATTTCCTTGTGTCTGGTTTGAAAATTCTAAACTTTTTGAATGAACTTGGTGTAGCTCGATGTCCGAGCATATTTTCCTTTTATGGATGAACAACTTTCTTTTCTCATTGTCATGTTTTTCTTGCTTAGCTTGTCTTTGCCTTTTTCTGAATTTTTGAAATTTTTGCAAAATTTTTCTAAGGGTAAACTTCGGCTTGGGAGTTTTACTCACAGCTGAGTATCTCTTACCCCCTTAGAAATCTGAAGTTGTAGACTTTAGGATTCTATGGTTCTTGAATGAACTTTTTCTTTGGCAGACGAAGGTTCATCCTAGCTGAATTCTAGTACTTGAATATAATTTTTAGAGTTTCAGTTCTTTCTTTTCTCTTCTTTTGTTTTGAGAATCTATGAGTTCGCTACTCAGAAGCCTTTGACTCTAAAGTAGTATCTTTCGATTTTTAAAAATTTTCAAAAATTTTCTAAGGGAATGACTATTTGAAACACAAGGCCTTTGCTTTGGCAATGCCTCATATATAACTCCTCTGAAGTACAATGCTAATTTTTAGGCAATACTTCAGATTTGTCCAGGACTTCTTTGCCCCAGGAACTGACTCATCTGAAGTACAGTGCCAGAAATTGGCTATACTTCGAGGGTGAAGCCATTGTACCTATTAGGCTGGTTCCTCGGCAATCTGCAACACAATGCCACATTTGGGCTATGCTTCAGACAGTGTCGAGACAGAATCTTTAAGAAATTTAAGGAAGACAGAAAGTGGAAACTAAAAAAATGTGATAAAAATGGTTGCTCAAAGGCCATTTCAGTAATTCTGAAGATGCACTTACATAGATTGTTCTGCCCCCAAGAGGTCACACATGATATTTCTTAAGTACATCAGCATTCCAGTGATTCTTCAACTCAGTTTTATCCAATTGCCGAAGTCAGTATGTCCATGGCTAAACTTCATCATAAATTTCATAGGGTCCCTCCCAAGTGGCTTGAGAGTTTTCCATGAATATGGCTTTTTTGCATAGCTGCAGTATTCCGAAGAATAAGATCTCCTATTTTGAGAGGTCTCGCGTGGACTCTTCAATTGTAGAACTTGCTGATTCTTTGCTTGTATGCAACCATTCCGTCTCAGGTCGAGTCTCTGACCTTGTCTAAGAAATCGAGGGATTCTTTCATGAGTTGTTTGTTCTCGGCCGAGTCAGATTCACACGTAATAAGCTCTCCGAGCTTATTTCCACTGGAAGAATGGCTTCGGATCCATACACCAGCTCAAAAGGTGAATGTCCCGTAGCCTTTTTTTCAGTTGTCCGAAGTGACCAAAGGTTTCCAGGGAGTTTCCCTATGTACTTGGACTTTTGATCTTCAACCCTCTTCTTGAGAGCGTTGAGGATTTGCTTTTTTGCGGCTTCGGCCTGACCATTACTCTGCAGATGACACACCGCTGTGTATGGAAATTTGATGCCAACTGGTCTGTGTACCGCCTTAGCGGAAAATTATCAAATTGCTTCCCATGATCAAAGGCAAAAACCTTCGGAATGAACTTCCTCACATTTTGCTCCGTGATGTTTGAGGCTGCCTCCGCCTCGATCCATTTGCTGAAATAGTCAATGTCGACTACCAGCCATCTCTTTTGGTACAGAGCATCAGGAAAAGGCCCCGAGATATCCAGTCTCCATTGGGCAAATGGAAGTGGATTTAGTATTAGATGAAGGTCTCGGGCTGGCTGATGGATGACTGATGCGAATTTTTGACATGTCTCGCATTTTCTAACTAGCTACCTGGTATCTGAGATCATGGTGGGCCAGTAATAGCCCGCCCTTAATTCTTTGTGGGCTAAAATTCTCCCCCCTATGTGGTTACCGCAGATGTCGAGGTGAATCTCCCAAAGGAAGTAAACAACATCTGTTGGTCCCACGCACTTAAGAAGTGGAGCTGAGAAATACTTTTTCAGCAGCTCTCCTCCAAAGACTATCATTGAGGGCTATCATTGCGAGGTAAGCTATCATTGAGGGCTCTTTGGCCTTATATTCACCTCAATCTGGTTTGCGACGAGCTGAGAGACTGTTTTAAGACATGTTCGACATCCAATGAAATGCACAGCTCTATTCCAGCGATCACTGCTTCATATTCAGCTTTGAATGAAAATTTGAGCGCATATTCAAAGGACTTGCTTTCGTGCGAGGTTATGACTACCCCTGCCCCCGAACCATTTACGGTGGACGATCCATCCGTAAAAACGGTTCAGATTTTCTTTTCTTCGTCTAGCATCTCCTCGTACGAACATTCGGCCAGGAAGTCCGCTAGAACTTGAGCCTTGATGGCTGTTCTCGGCTGGTAGCTGATGCTGAACTCGGTGAGCTCGAAGTCCCACTTCACTAGATGATCGCGGAGCTGCTTGAAATGCTCTTTGATTTTAGGATTTTAGCGCTTTGAAGAAGTGTAACCCTTTGTCTGATGCCCGACAGATGAACTTGGACAAGGCTTCCATTATCCGGTGAGACGCTGAACAACCCTCATTGTTTTTGGCTCGGGAAGATCAAGCACTGCTTGCACCTTTGTGGGAATGGCATCATTCCCTGTTTTGATGACCATGAAGCCGAGGAACTTGCCTGACTTCACGCCGAAGACACACTTCTTCGGATTCAGCTTCATTTGGTGCTTTCTTAGGGTGGCGAAGGTTTCGGCCAGGTTCGCGACTTGGTCTTTACTTTCTTTGCTTTTGACGATGGAACCGTCCACACAGACTTCCATGTTGCGGACTTTTTGCTCGGCGAAAACCTGATGAGCTCTGCAGTTGTTTTCTCTCGGCGATTTGCCGTAGAAAACTTGCTCTTGAATTGGTTGGAAAGGTCTTTCCAATCGGTTATCGAGCCCTCCTTCACTCCTTTGGTGTTCCATGTTGTGCAACACATTTTAGAGTATTCGGGAAACATTTGCACCAGTTCGCTTTGGACCTGGGGTTCATATACTTGCGCCCCTCGTAAGAGGCAATGTGGTTCTTCGGATCCAAAGTACCATCATATGTAATGTGTTCCGAGATTTTCACCGTCGGCACATGCTCTTCCAAAATTCAGTTTTGGAAGGGTGAGCTGGTGGGAACCATCACGGTTTTCCCCTTTTGTCCAGCCGAAGGGACCTTGCTTCTCCCTCTCATAGAGGTGGAAGTGGTTTTTGTTCTCGGCTAAGACGGTTCCCTCGGGGTATGAGGCGGCTATGCACGATCATCTCCCTAGAGCCGAGACGTTCATGAACGTTTCAATGAGCAGGCTCGGGCCGTGCAGAGGCAGAGTTACAGCTCTTGTAGCTGTAGGTGTTGCGGGGTTCAGATTCTTCGAAGAATTGCTGGTTTCTATTTCTTTCTCGTTCAGTCCTCCAAGTGTCCTCGTCCCACTTGTCGTCTAGCTCCTTGAATGATGGAGCTTGTCCATCTATCTCCTGGTCGGTTCTCCTTCTCAGGTGTCTCGGCCGGATAGGTGAATATTCACGTGTAGGTGGTGGAAAGTTGCCCGCTTAGGACTTCATGAAATTCATGAAGACCGCGGCTCTCACCACTCGGCCACTTCCTCCGTAGAGGGTCTTGATTGAGGAGTCGTCCTCGACTGAGAACAAGAATGGACGCTTCGAGGTGGACTCTTACCATCGGATTCCTTCGACTTGGCATGACTTGGGACAGTTGAACCTTTGCCTTGGGCTTGATAATTGATTCATTTTGGACAAACCCAATTGGACCCAAATAATTATCTTTCTGTTTTATTGTTTACAAACTGTGGGATGACAAAGTTTATGCGATCAAGCAAGGGAAGAATATGGCAAGAATGGTAAAAGTTCTATTCTTCTTTGCTATTTGCTAGTATGTAGTTAAGGTGAGTTTGCCAACTTAAAAGACTACCTTCTATCATCCAAGCCTGGTTTCCAAGTTAGTATAGAGAATGGCCTTGGCTTGGGCCTGGGCCTAAGATATATTCCCTATAGTCCGAGAGCAGGGCCTAGCACTAGGCCCTTATTTCCATGGATGAGCTTCAGAAATCTGCCCTTTTAATGGGTTTCAGAAAGTTTGTCCATCCCTTTTTAGAAGGAACTTTGATAAGTGGACAATCAGTCCACCTTTTCATTTGGAACATTCAGGTATACAGTCTTTGGAATGGAACTGGACTTGTAATGTTTATCAAATGATTCAATATACTTCTTTTTCGTACCATACACATGATCTGCGTACAAATTCATGCATGCTTCATGTGTTGTACTAAATGCTTTTGTCCAATCCAGAGCCTGCCCAAACTTGTGGCAGGCAGACTAAATGATATCCCTCATCTGGTGCTTAGTACACTCATACCCTTTCTCTCTTTAGACTCTCTCTAGTACAGTTATATGACTTACACATCGAAGGGGTAATTCTGGGATAATCCTAATTTTATAGGTTCTGAGTCAGTTCGACAGACCTCCCTCTGCTCTGATGCTCTACGAATAAACTCTGACATCAGAGAATTCCTTGTTATACAGACATAAAACTCACTAGAAAACACAGCTGATATTTGTTCTAGTTAATTCAATGCTCCAGAAGAAAGCAAGCTTTCTTTTGTAGTAGTATGTTTTATGTTCTCTAAATTTACATGATCAATATAGTTAATCAATCACAAAATACTTCACCTAGTCTAAAAATAACTCACTGTTATGACTTGTTACATACTAGACTGTCATGGGCTAATAGTTACTAATATCCTGTTACAGTGGTGGATTAAAACTAAGATTTTACTTTGGAGTGGCATTTCTAGGCATATAGTTTAGTGTACCGCGAAATTTGAGTTGGTGCTCAATTATTTGTGCTTTGTCACTCTTGTGATTAACCGTGTAACAAGATTTAGGAGCATGGATGATATATCAATCAATCAAAGTCTTAATCCCATAAGCAAGGATGATATATATTGCTAATATATGGAAGTAATGGCTTACGCCCTTCCAAAACCAATTGGATATTTGACAAACAGAACACAAAGTTACAGCATTGGTGTGATCATCATCAAAAAGCTCACAAAAAAAATTAAGCTTTTGATATGATGGTCTAGTGCCATATTTATGTCATCACTAAACTAGAACCAAATAGCTTTCGCTTCAATAAGCATATCTCTAAGGGATCCATTAAGGTGGGCTCCAAGCACATCCTTAGCAGACCCCACAAACTTGCCACCGATAAACACTGCAGGAACAGTAGGGCTGCAGCCTAACCTCTGTAGTGCCCATTCCATTTCTCGGCCTCTAGCCTCTTGGTCTAGCTCATAGACCGCGGGACTTGCACCAAGGTCATAAAATAGTGTACTGATACTATGACACATACAACATGAGCTCTTTGTGAATATCACTGCTGCCTTTGACTTTGCCAACTCACTTAGTCTATCCATTATAAAAACTACAAGTATTATGAGGAAGAGAATAAACTTGTTTGTGTGACTGTATTTCTCTGAAATGTGTTGTGGTTGAATACTACTGCGGACTTAGGTATCAATATATATAAGGGGCGCTATGAACCCAGTTGTTGAGGAAAAAATACTAGTGGTAAGGATAAGGAACACAAATACTTTAGTTTTTCTTTATATTTTCGGCTTGATAAAGACCACCTTGTGATTTACAGTGTCAGAGTGCTACTTGTATTCAGCATCAAATAAAGTCAAAATCCTAAGAATTTCTATGGAATCCATATTAATGATGATAATCCATTGAAGAGATTATATTAACCATTCTTTTAACATGGTATATCTTGATGTCCATTAAGTTTGTTAATTATACTTCAGTGGATTATGAAAGAACGTTGTGGCGAATTGGTTAGCAAGGAAATATTCTTCTTTTAGTAGACTAGTCTTTTCAAAGCCGTTTTTAGGTGATATCTTGAAAGATCTACTTCCTGTTTGCTAATTTGATCAATTTGCATTCAGTACTAATATTTAAGTACCGAAAGTGGCAAATTGCATTCAGTACTACTATTTGGGCTTTCACTTGAATAAAATTCCTTAACGATAAGTTGGCTAAATTAATAATTGTTGTCACACCTTGTAAGATTCATTAATTTCTGGCATCATAGTTGGCAACTGAACTAATTAATCGAAATAGCATAATATTTTGGTGGACAGAAAAAACATGTGTGAAAATTTGTATTATGAAACAAAATTAATTCTTCTTCAGGCTGTTTTTCGCCATGTTGTGCATCCAAGCATTGACATAGTAATTCATATTTAAAAGTCCAAAGCTGAGTACAATAATAATCTGTCTGTCATTTGTCAGATATCAGAATACACAAACTTCATCTGTAGTATTAGCAAAAAAAATGTGTTCCTTTGTAAAACAGGATTATTAATTCTTCATGTTTTTCATTAGAAAATTTTGATGTTAATCTTTGGTATACTAATATGTAATATCTGCAGAACTCTGAAGCTGATTATGCTATTAAACTTATTCGCGATCATTTGTCAGGTATCAGAAAATTAACGCTTTCATTTTTGTTATCAGAAAAAAAAAATGGAATGATTTTGTTCTTTTTGAAACTTACCTATCCAAGTCAAGAAAAAAATCCCTTTGCCCTTTGAGCGCAGGAGTGATCAGCCAGTCATTATAATTGCTTACGCACGCAATTTTGGTAAATTTGGATAAGGCAATAACCTTTAGAATCATCGATATTATGGCTGATATTCTTCATCCCATTTACACACATCAAAAGATTCTTGATGTTCCTATGCATGCATATGCTCAACTTTATTCTCTTTCATTCCTATCTTGCCAAACGTTGGAGATGTATTTGATCTCTTATTTTAAGATGGAAATGATAAGAGAAATTGGATGGGATAAAATAAAGTTTTCACTGATCGATTGGAGATGCACAGTTGAGGTACCAAGCTTCTAGCATCATGATAATAAGGAATGTCAACCCACTGTCAGAATAGGAGGCATCAGAGATGCTAAAGAAAGGTGCTCGTGTGACGTGGTGAATTCGAAAAATTCTCAATTTTACTTGTGATGAAGAAGCTTCATTCAACTTTTTTTTCGATGAGTGGTCACTTGGAAAAGAGTAGGGGTCACCTAGTAGTTGAAGGATCTATGTACATCGATATCAAAGTATTATATGCCCTCAAAGTAAGCGGGATTTGAAGAAAAAAGTCTCAAATAATGGACCTGTGTACCCAATTCTGACATAAGGAACAATCAAAGTTCCAAGGCAAGCGGAAAATGTCTACTGTAAATATAGACCACAAGCAGGGGATGTTAACATACACGAGCAACGCACTATCATCAAAGTTCCAAGGCAAGCGGGCGGAGTATTATGTATTGGACCTGTGAAACGATTATTGAACATATGAGACGAGTTAAGTATATACGATTTGAAAGCTGATTGTGTAGTGATAAAATCCCCGTGGGGTTTGATCCTGAAACCAATTGGCGATAGGAAAAGTATCCATACAAGATTATGTTGGTTATGATCTCTTATTTTTCAACAAGGTACAATAATCCCAACTCATACGTGACGAATTTTTCAGGTTTGACCCAAGTAAGAAGTAAGACTATTTACCAGGTCAATGTCTATCTTCTTAACCAAGCATAGCCTTAGGAGTTTATATTCCATAAATCATTGAGAAAAAATACTCAAAACACAAAAAAAGTCTATATGCTTTCTGAAGGTATAGAATCTGAACTGTTTTTGCCTGTCGATTTCACCACCGATCATACAGGAGACAAGTAGAATTCCCTTACAAAATGAGATTCAACTTTTCCTGTATAATAGCGGGCGAAATTAGCATACTGGAATCTACTTGTAAAACTAGCAATATTGGATAACTGTTAGTGCATTCCCACTTGTAGAATGTCAGTATTTCACTGGCTTATGTCTGCATCACTTTTCGTCTCTCAGATTTTTTTTTCTTGCTAGGATGGTTAAGCACTCAAACCCTTCCTTAACCGAGTAAAGATACAATACAGTCTGTTGGATTTGTGCATAGCAGATTACTGCGAGTTTTCACCTTTGGTGCACCATGTCCTACAGCGATCCTGCTCCATTAAATCGACTCTTTGAACATTACATGCCTTTGTTACTCTGTGATCAGTACATTAATAAACTCATACAAGTAACAAAATTAAATATGATACATTATGTTGTTGAAGTTAATATATTAAGCCTTCACTAATTCTTAACTTACATTACATATTTTATTTTTCCCAAATTCTAATTTGTAATGAAGAAGCTTCAGACATCTTTTAACAGAAAAAGGTCACTTTTGGAAATGATACCTGTCACAACTCACAATATAGCAATTGCTGAAGAATCTATGTGTTCTTATCCTATATTTAAAACTAGTATTATAACACATTTCTGGTCCTACGTTTAACAAAGTGGAACATATAGAATTAATAAGAGCCATCCACTGTCTTAGCGCGAAAACTTGAACTTATAATGCTCCAATCAAGAATCATATATGGCTAAATATTCTCTTTTCTGATCTGTAGTCACTTATGCTGTCGCGTCCTGATTGGAGATCGAAACAATAATATTACACGAAACAGTCGTCCAAGCACATGATCTGACCTAAAGGACTATAAGTTATCCCTGGATTAGTATCATCAAAGGATTCTAGATAAGCCATGAAATGCTTAATATAAAGTGTGCAAATATCTCTCTGAATTGCTTTTAAGAAAACATATAGGACATGCATTTGATGCATAAATACAGTACAATATATTCTTTGTCTAGTGAATCAAGATACTCTGCCCACTTTCCCATGCGTTTACAAGTCACAACTTACATATTTGTCCGTAAATTAACTAATCATCTATAAGAAACATCGGAGATAAAAGCATTTTATAATAAGACACGTGTACGTTTAAGAAGAATTTGATTTTACCACTCGATCTAGTATAGGCCCCCTATTATTGAATAATAGTCACTTCATTTACCTTAGAATGTCATCATGTATATACGTGTCACACAAAATTCATCATATGAAAAAGTAGAAGTCATTTTTAGATCAAATTGCATAAAAAGTCATTGCGAGATATGTGTCAACATTTTCGTCTTATATTCCTTAAAAATTCGGATTTCGTATAAAAAACATAGAATTAGATACACAAATAATCCAAATGAATTACCCTGCCTGTCAACTTGGCCATGCATCATCAATTCATAACAGTGGAAATCAAGAAAAATTCGTTTTGTAAAAAAAATTAACCTTATATTGGCAATTGGCATCCATTTCTCTATGAAAGAAATTGTTACAAAATTGAACGTCAGAATTTCAGCCTATTTATCATTGAGTTATCTGAAACACCATTAAGTTTGACAAATTCTCAACCTCTAATAGTGCAAGTCATCAATGAAGCTAATAAAATCTTGTTGGAGTTAAATTATGTTGTTTTTTTAATAAATCTTGTTGAGGTTAAATTATGCTTAATTAATTTATAAGCACTCTATATCAAAATACTCTTTTTCGTACCAATTAGAATTTAGGCTTTGGTTCGTATCAATAGATTTTTTTTACTAGTCAATAATGACTATCAATACTAGAGGCTAAGAAGTTCTCATTTATTTATTACATATTTTTATTTCATTTTAAGTACACATGTATGATCTTCGACACTCTAACATGCATGGGTATATATACTCTGACCCTTCATTCTTGACCAAAAACATTGAAACTTTTAATTGAAAATAGCTGAGTCTGACATTACCCTGTCACCCTGTGGCAGATTTTCGTTCCCATCTCTGTAACATAGACTGCAGGTAATTCAGTTGACTTCTTCCTAATGTTATACCACCTAATTATACATAATCCACGTGAAATATAATCTTCTTAACCTACTCCCTCCGTCCTTAATTGTTTGCCCCTTTTTTTATAGAGTCAAAGTTCATCAACTTTGATGTGAATTCCCGTTGATATATAAGGAAAAATATAGTCGTGTACATAATTATATGGAAAAATAACGGTAAAGAGCAAAAGATTACACAAATATACGTGACAGAGAACATCTCTGAAGCCTTACTTCATAATTCTCTTTTTGTTACATTACATTGTTATTCACAAAATGCAGCTATGTATCAAGGCCTTACAAAAAACGAAAAGCCCTCGAAAAATGCTGCACTGCGCTCGCTAGCTCAGCTCTTTTCAAACTGGAGGCCATAAATTTCATCCATTCAAAAAAAAAAAAAAAAAAATTGAGAAAAGTACATATATACATCCTTGTTTTAGGATGTGTATATTGCTAAAACCAAATAGCTTTAGCAGCAATGAGCATGTCTTTAAGAGAGCCAGTAAGATGGGCAGCAAGAACATCCTTAGCCGATCCCACGAACATGCCACCGATGAAGATTGCAGGGACTGTAGGCTTACACCCTAGTCTCTGCAATGCCATCTCGAGCTCTCGTCCTCTAGGATCACGGTCGATTTCGTATACTGCCGGGCTAGCTCCTAGCTCGTAGAAGAGGGACTTGATGCTGTGACTCATGCAGTCTGAGCTCTTTGTGAAAATTACAGCTGCCTTAGATTTTGCTAGCTCATTTACTCTATCCATTATATTTTCTTTGAAAATAAAGGAGTTGAGGTTTTTTGTTTTGTTAGAAGGGAAGTTGAGAGTTGAAAACTATTGAATGTATTTACTTGGTTAGTAGAAGATGTGTAGAATTGAGTTGTGTTAGCCAATTTATAGGGATGGATAGGCAGGATAGATTGATGGATTGCATTTTTTTTATTGTAGAAAAAGATTTTTTTTTTTTTAAAAAAATAATAAATTTAAATAAAGGGGGGAACAAATGTGAATAATTATAGTAATATAATTCTTTCAAAAAAAAAAATAAAAAAAAAATTATAGTAATATAATTGGAAAAGATGTAAAGGAAGAAATTCTTGCAAGAGAATATATGGTCATATGGATACAGTGGCGGATCCAGGATTTTCAATTCGGGGGGACAAAATGCTTAACTTACAAATAACTTAACAAAAAATAAAAACAAAAAATAACTCAAACACACAAATTGGTTAATACTTAGTATTAAAATTTCAAAATAAAAAACATACTTAGTCATACAATTCAAAATGATGAAAAAAATTACATAAACATTACATTAAAATTACGCTTTCATCCTTCGAGTCTTCATATTTTGGAAGCGTTCAACAACTTTTTCATCGGAAACTCTTAAGAAGACATCCTTCTCAATAAAAGTGACCAAACAATCATTCATAAGTTGATCACCCATGCTATTTCGCAACTTATTTTTTACACATGTCATTGCGGAAAAGACTCTTTCAACACTTGCCGTGGCAACCGGAAGAATCAACATCAACTTGATAAGCAAATGAATAAGAGGAAAAGTCTTATGCTTATTAGTTTTAACAAGCATCATAGAAAGAGAATTAAGGTCATTTAAACCTTGAAATCTTTCATCATTTAGCATATTCTCCATGAATATATCAAGTTGACATTCAAGAGTCATCAAATCAAAGCTTGAAAATTCTTCGGGATAATAAGAGGCAAGTTTAAGTACCTTATCTTTATCAAATGATGAGAAGTTATCTTTAGGACTTAAACAAGCCATACACATTAGTATCTCCATATTCCTCTCATTAAATCGATCATCAAGTTCTTGAAGAAGCAAATCAATCACTCTTAAAAAAATTCCAACCCGAAAATGATGTTGATTTGTTGCTTCTTCAACAAAACGTCTTGATCTTCCTTGAGGAACATAAGGAGAATCCATAGTGGGAACAACAATACCATGTTTAGCACAAAATGAAGTTACCTTGTTTAAGAGAGTATCCCATCCTTGCTCCCTCATTTTTTGCAACACTATTTTTGTGTAAGTGACAAGTTCCATGGCATTTACAATATCTTGCTCCTTTCTTTGCAAAACAACACACAAATCATTAGTGTATCCAAAAATAGTCAACATCAAGTAAGCAATAAAAACAAAGTCAAATGACTCTAATTGTCCTAAAACAATTTGAGCTTTGAACTTATCTTCCGATACACCATGCTTCCCAATGTGTACAAGTACCTTAACAATTGTAGGAAATAAGAGGATGATGTTTGAAAGAGACTTGTAATGAGAACTCCAACGAGTATCCCCGGGCCTTTTCAAACCAAGTTCTTGATTTAAACCCGATCCACTCACAATATCCCCTACATCCAATGCTCGAGCAACTTCTTGAGCTTGATCTTGTCGAATCATTTCTCTTCTCTTGCAAGAAACTCCAACCACATTCAATAAATTTGCAAGTATCTCAAAAATCCAACCACAACTATCATTCTTTTTAGCAACGGCATCTAGTGTTAGTTGAAGTTGATGAGCAAAACAATGTATGTAGTAGGCACTTGGAGTATCATTATTCATAATCAAAGTCCTAAGACCATTTATTTCACCTTTCATGTTGCTAGCTCCATCGTACCCTTGCCCTCTTATCATAGATGGACTCAATGAATGTTCAACAAGTAAAGACATGATTGCATCTTTAAGAGTTAAAGCGGTAGTATCACCAACATGAACAATGCCTAAAAATCGCTCCATTACCTTTCCACTATCTCTATTAACAAAGCGCAAAACAAGAGCTAGTTGTTCTTTTTGGGACACATCACTTGACTCATCGGCTAATATGGCAAAGTAATCATCACCAACTTCTTCTATTATGCACCTAGTTGTTTCTTTGGCACAACAATTAATAATGTCCTTTTGAATAGAAGGGGAAATCATTTGACAATTTTTAGGTGCATTTTCAAGAGTATGTTGTCTTACTTCCTCAACCTTTTCTCCTAACCATTTCAAAAGCTCAAGGAAATTACCCCTATTATATGACTCCCCACTTTCATCATGTCCACGAAATGCCAAACCTTGCCCCAAAAGAAATCTTAAACAAGTTAAAGATTCATTCAAGCGGATAAAATATTCACTCTTAATCACCTCACTTGCATTGTCAAACACATTCAAGATTGATTTTTTTTTCCATCTCTTAAATTCACATATTTCTCATAAGCAAGATTATGAGCACTATTAATTCCACCAACATGCTTCTCAAATCTTTCCGGTTTATTCCATGCCCTAAACCCTCCATCAACAAATGCATCACCCCCGAATAACTATCAACTTCATTCTTGAACAAGTAACACACAATACAAAATGCGGCATCTTTTTCAATACTATACTCAAGCCAATCCCATTTCTTGAACCAATGAACACTAAAGCGACGTAAACCAGACACTTGTCTTTGAGGAAAGTCATGAGTTTTTGGTTGGCAAGGTTTTTTAAGAATATAACCCCTCCTAACTGCATTTCGTTCATTTGCGGGGTAATCCATTATGTTTATTCTTTTTCCCGGATCATGAGGAAGAAATTCAACATCGTATACCAATTTTCCTCCAATGGTACATTACAAGTACTTGAACCACCCATTTCCATATCATCTTCTTGACATTGAGGGGAGCTTAATGAAGGAGAGTTATTGGACTCATTTTCATGGAGTTTCTTTCTTTTAAACATGAATTGTCGAAGATCGGGTTGTTTTCTAGTAGCCTTGGATTTGTTTGAATTAGGTGAATCATTTGACATTTCCTAATTAAATTGAAAAATATATATCAATTTCCACAATTCACATCATTGCATAGAATGCATACTAATAAAACGGTAAAACCTAAGATTAAAATTGCAATTAATATTAAAATTCAACAAAGATTGCAATTAAAATTAACAATAATTAAACAAAAATCTGGAAATTAGGGTTAACAATTGTCAATTGGGGATTTCAAATTGGGAATTTCGAATTAGGGTTAGCAAATAGCAAGACATACCATCAGTGACGGACGGCCGAGGCTCGACGGTCAGACGGTGGTTGCCTGGTTGCACGCAGGCGGCGCCGGTGCACGCAGCTAGTGAAGAGGCTGCCGATTTGCGAAGACCGAAGTGGTGCTGTGGTGACTTGGTGAACTGGTGAGTGGTGAGGAACCGAGAGCAGCGACGCAGCAGGGCGGTGGTTGCCTGGTTGGTGGAGCAGCGACGCACGCCTCGACGGTCGATCTCAGTGGAGGCAATGGCGAATTGGAGGAGTGAAGACTGAGTGTTGTTGGCTGTTCTTCGTTCTGTAGCAGTGTCGCGTTTTGCTTTTTTTGGTTTTTTTTCACTTTTTTTATTTTTTATTTTTTTTTTAAAAATGGGGGGACAGCTGTCCCCCATGTCACTTAATTGGGTCCGCCACTGTATGGATATGGATAAGAATGGAGAAATTTACCTAAGGATGGCCCCTTTAGGCCTTTGAAGTAGTTCTAGATGATCATTGAAGAAGTAGCATCTTTCAAAATAGTTTATTCCGTCTACTCGGATTATATAAATCACATGAACTATTTTGAGACGTCTGGATATTTTGAGATGGCCTTCAAGATAGTACTATATTATTTTGAGATGGCCTTCAAGGTAGTACTATATTGTTTTGAGATGGCCCTCCAGGTTATATTATAATATTATATTTCACTGTTTTTATAGTATTTGAAATATTAGTCTATATAAAAAAAAATATTCACTTAAACTAGTATTCTAAAATCGCTTTAGAAGTATTAATGATAGATAATTGATTTTCTTTATATTTGAATTTTTTTTTCAATAAAATCAATGTAAAACCGGATTAATAGTTAATATTATATACCCCTAGAGTACGAATCATGGTACTTCATACCAATATGATTGAATTATATATTTTGTCTAATCTTGTGTAATTTCGCTTAAATCTTGTGCTATTTTCTTAAAACAATATGTTATTTTGCTTCAATCTCAAGCTTATACTATTTTTACATAAAATTTGTGTTATTTTTCCAAAACAGTGTATAAAATAACATGTATTTATTTTAAAATAACATTTATATATATAAATTGAAATAATAAAAAGTACACCAAAATAACATGAATTTTATTAATTTTGAGTACAGTAAAATGATCAATGTTGAATATAAAAACATGTATGTATAAATTAAAATAACATAAACTTACTTAAAAATAACATATACATATGAATTAAATAATAAGAAATTCACATCAAAATAACATGAATTTTAAAAACTTGGAGTACCTTTTTTTTAAGAATAAACTTGGAGTACCTTGTGCATGGTACTCCAAGAGTAAGATAGAAATCACTACGTGAAATAAGCTATTTCGCGACAGCCAAAATTTGTCGCAAAAATCGTAAAAACCGTCGCAAAAAATAGTTGCGACAATCAACTGTCGTAATCCGTTTGTCGCAATCACAGTTGTCGCAAAATTTTATTTTTGCGACAGTTTGACTGTCGTAAACCTTTTTACGACGGTTTTACTAATTTCAGCGACAGTTTTATTTTTTGTCGTAATAATTAATCTGCGACAGCTAAAAACCGTTGCAAACTACGACATCCATGAAAACTGTCGCAAACACCAACTTTAGCGACAGCTAAAAGCCGTTGCAAAAAAAAAAAAAAAAAAAAAAAAAAAAAAGGTAACCCCTCAACCCAGCCACATCCCTCCTTTAACGCTCACCCACAATAGCCCAGCCGCATAACCTGTAACCACGACCAACCTCCACCATAAACCACCTAGCGCCACCACACACTTTCCACCGCCACCCAAAACCACCAAATTAAGCCCAGAAAACTCATAAACCCACAAACAACCCTGGATCTGAAATTAAACCAAAAAAATCTAAAATCCAACAATTCCCCCTTACACTAACCACCGACAACCCCCAACCTTGCACCCAAAAAATTAAACATTAAGATCTAAAAATTAAACCCCAACAAACAAAAAATCAAAGAAAAAACCCAACATAATAACCAAGGATAAATGAAAATATAAAACAAATTCATAAAAATAACAAACATCAAACAAGAAATACAAATATACATCAAATAATAAAAAACCAAGAATAATAAAACAAACAAGTTAATGAAATAACAAGAGTTATAAAAAAGGGTACAAAATTCAAACAAAAATACCACAAAAAATCAAATGAAAATAAATGACAAAATAACAAGATCTAACAAATTAAATAAAAATCAAATGAAGATGAACGAAAATAATTAACATACCTTCGAAACTTTCCTCTTCTTTGGGTTTTAAGGGTCAAATTCGACCATAAAAACTCCAGATCTGGAATTTTTATGGTCCAATTTGGCTAAAAAAAGGAGGAGTACGAGAAAAAAAAGAATGGAGGATGAGAAATAGAGAGGAGAAAGGAAAAGAGAGGAAAAAAAAGAGGAGGATGAAAAAGAGAGGAAAGAGAGGAGGAGAAGTGGGAAGATGATATGAGAAAGAGAGAAGAGAAAAGAAATGAAAGAAGAGAGAGAAACTGATAGGGAGAAGAGTAACGAATCGGCGGACAATACATTATTAGGGTTTGGTTTCAACACCGTCGCAAATATTTAAAAAATTTACAATTATTTTTTATGTCTATTTCGACATTATATTGGCCAAAAACCGTCGTAAATCAGGGAC